GTAGATTACAGAGCCCACAGGGTACTGTTGCAGGCATACAGTGAGGGTTAGACAGAGAGTAGCAGTACCCTGCCTTGCACCCACTAGGCACTCAGTAACCGTCTGTTGATGCCAGTGGCAGTGGGTCACGGAGGGCCACCCTAGTACTGAAGGCTGCAACCAAGACCCACACATCCCAAATGATATTGCAGTTGTTCATCTTTCATGATGAGTCAGGAGTGCTGCGGCCTGGCATCTGTGAAGCAGGAACAAACACAGCCCACTGAAGGCGAGTCACAGCTCTGGGGCTCCCAGAGCCACAGGCCATAAGATGACACGCTATTGGTTGGCAGAGCCACCAGCCTGAGCCTTGCTAGAGGAAACTCAGAGCATAAACAAGACTGCCCATTAACCAGCCCAGCTAAAACTCGTACCAGGAGGGGCACAGTGGGTCAGTCATGGTGAGAAGAAAGCCATTGGTTCCATTGGGGCCTCAGGCTGATAACCACCAACTTGGCGGCTCAGAGGGCCCATGGTTTCGTTATGAATGGGGAAACTGAGGACCAGAGGGTACCAAGCCTCACCAAGATGCTACAACTTGCCAAGGGAAAAGCTCCATGGGAAGAAGGATGGAGAAATCACATTTATGAAGTACCCCCTATCACTGTAGGGGTGATCAGGACTGTCAGACACTGCAGAGAGGGCACCATGTACATTGTGCTATCTTGGTACACAGAACACCCCCACGAGGCAGCCATTCACACCTCCACAGGGGCGGCCACGAGGGCTCCAGGCTACAAAGAACTGACTTTTCAATCTTATGCCATCTAGAAATGGCACCTTCCGTCACACGGTGGGCTCCCTTACCCTCAAGGGTTCTCTCTCCTTTCTCCTTCAAATCTGTCACATCCCCAAAGTCTGCACAGGCCCTCTTTCCTCCTTCCAGGGCCTCCTGCAGCCCTCATTAAAGTTTCCCCCTTTCCTGGCCTCTTTGATTGTCCATTCACCCGCATCCATCATACAGCAGCCATGGTGACTGTCACACAATGCAAGCCCACTCAAGCCTTTCCCTTCCAAACCCCTCTCAGGTGCCAGTCCAGGACCCCTGGGCTCTCCCTCTTCTGCCCTTTCTCCCCTCTTGCCCCAGCCACCTGGTCCAGATACTTGGACCATTTCCTCTGCTTACAACCCACCTGGTGTCCTCCTCTAGCCTAGCTGACTTGTTTTGATTGACAGGCAACTCCCATCATTTGTTTATTAACATGTATCCCGTGCTCATCCTGAGGTGCCCTGGGTGGCTCTCATTCAGGATCTCTCACACAGCTGTCATCAGGTGGCTGGTTCCGGTCAGTGGCTGAAAAGGCCCAGGCTCGCTTTGCCAGCAGAATCTGGGATCTCAGGATCCCAGGGCCAGGGCTCCACAGCTGTATTGCTTGTGGAGCTGCCCAAGGCCCCGCCTATTCTTGGAAGGGGCCTGTGCTTGGTGATGGCTCCAAGATGACCATGATGAAATCCTAACAATTTCAAGACACCTGGAGAGAGAGAGAGAGAGAGGAGAAGAGGACAGGGGAGAGGGGAGAAGGCACAGGGGAGGGAGAGGAGAGCTACAGCTGAACTGATTTGTACTCTCAAAGACATCCATTCTAACTCCCTTCTGGAAGATGCCTTCCAAATCCTCATCTTTCCTGGCCATGAGTCTTTAGAGCATGAGTCCCTTCTTGCACTATACTTTGGCTGGCGGGGTCAGGGGAAGCCCTCAAATCTAACCAGGGTAGGAAATGGGGTACCCTTAAGCCTAATTCAGGACTAGGACCTGGCATATGATGCAGTCTTCATTACTACCCACTGAGCCATGCATGAAGTCAGGGTCTATAATGATCAGCTGAACTTGAACTCCAGACCTCCTGACTCCAAGGCTCACTCTCTTTTCCCACAGCACAGAAATATGGGTAGGCTCAAGGGACAGAGGTTGGTGCCAGTTCTATTGCCAGCTTTGCCACTTAGTTGCTGGATGACCTTGGATATACTTGCAGTTCCCAGCCCTCACTCTCTTCATCTGTAAATTGGCGGTGGCTCATGCCTGTAACCCTAGCAGGAGACTGAGATCTGGAAGATCACAGTTCAAAGATAGCCAAGGTAGACAAGTCTGATACTCTATGTTCAAAATAACCAGCAAAAAGCTGGGCTGGAGGCATGACTCAAGTGGTAGAGCACCAATCGAGCAAGCTCAAGGTTCTGAGTTCAAACCACAACTACTGGCAAAATAAATTTAAAAAAATGAAATTGTTGCCAGGCACCTGTGGCTCACGCATGTAATCCTAGCCACTGAGGAGGCTAAGGTCTGAGGATCATGGTTCAAAGCCAGTCTAGGCAGGAAAATACCTGAGACTTTTAATTCCAATCAATCACAGAAAAAGCCAGAAATGGCCCAGTGGCTAAAGTGGTAGAGCGCTAGCCTTGATTAAAAGGAGCCCAGAGACAACGCCCAGGCACAGAGTTCAAGCCCCAGGACCAGCTAAGAAAGAAATTGCGCAACAGAATAAAATGCATGCCTGAAGCACTCAGGATACTAAAATGCTCAGTTAAGTGTGTGCTCTTCCCCATTTTCCCAAACCTGGTCCTTGTGACCAACAAAAACAGAGCGCTCTACCACCCTGCTGAGTAGTTAAACCATTTCTTGACAAATCTTTAAATTTACAAATTAGATCTGTCAACACCCGCCCTGTATGTACTTGATAAGGACACCAAGCCGCAGCCCGTGCAGCTCTGGGCTTTAATAATAAAAAGAAAACGAACCCACAATATCAGTTTATGCCAAGGCACCTGATGCACAACTTTGCAAATTACTACGCTGTGCATTTCCCTCCTTTATGTTCAGTGCAGCTAAATTACCTTGCCTGGAGAATCTTAGCCAAAGCAAGTGCAACACAAAGCTGTGTACATTTTTAGCATCTGCATGGTGGTTTTTTTTTTCTTTTGTGGAAAGCACAATGCTAGGAGAGAAAGACAGTTTATCATATTTGGTTGGTGTGCCCCTCATTTTTTCCAGCTGACAGTTTTATTTATTTTGTGGCAAAGGCAGGTTTGACACAGGGGTGGGGGCAGTGGAGCACTCTGGGGGTTCACAGCCCAGCCTTCCGGCACCCATCCTCCATCTCCGCACAGCAACCCTTGAGAGGTGAATCCCCACCATACCTGGTGTCACCGTGGTACAAAAGGCAGAATCTGAAGCAGCCGGGGCATGAACTCATGTCTGTCATTCCCTATTTACAGACCAGAAAATGGAGTTCAGAAGGAGTAAGGAACTCAGACAGGCCACAAGATGGAATAATAATGGGAGAACCAGCCATCCCAAGCATTCAGACTGCCTTCTTTAAAGCCTAGAGTTGGGTGGATGGTATCAGAAAGTTTAAGATCCATACGATGGTCACAATCTGAACTGACACACTTTTCAGAACCTTGGCTCAAACAGCCAAGACCCCAGGACCACCATTTTGCTTGGGCCACCACACCCTGCTGCGCTCGAGTAGGTACTGCATGGACACTCTATACCATCACCAGTATCCTCTGTAGTTGGGTAGTGTACAACCTGGGCGACTGTATGTCACAACCCACAGAGGTACCTCCAAAAGCTGGTGAGTCAAGTCATCTAAGTATGGCAGCAGAGCCCTGGGCCAGCCCGGCCTAGATCTGTCCTGGGGACCTGCCAATCCTACAAATGCTAGATCTGGGTGGAGTTCCCCAACCTCACCTGGTCTCCCCATTCCTGACTTGCGACAATACTGTGACACCCTGTGACCGTGCATCTCCCGGGGGAGGGCTACACCATCCCACCCACGGGGCCAGGGGAACAGAGTTCTTGCACAGCCAGGTCCTGAGACTAGAAGCAAATGTGAGGTGTTGGCAGAAGAGGGGCTGGGGAGCCCTGAGGGCCGCCCCAACCGGGGAAAGCCTGCATCTTGCCATCTATCAGGATGACTGTGGCAGAGACAAAGCACCTGCTGCGAACAAGACTCTTCGTGCCATTAATCAGTGCTCCCCAAACCGGTGCAAAATCTAGGTAGGCATTATTCCTGAAAGCCAGAGGCAATCCCAGGAGAGCCCAAATCCAGCAAGCTGTTCACGAAATACTCCATCTTTTAGGGTGCTGCAGGAGACAGGGGAGGTGGGGGGGGGGAGGTTCTGCTACCGAAGGCATCCTGGGTAGGCCTGTCTCTAGTGTACATCTTAGCAAGACAGGACACAATGACCGGGGAGCTCAGGAGAGCAGCTGCCATTTGTCTTAGGCAGAAAACCATGTCCTCTTAGGGCTAGCTTCTCCCATGGCCTGGTCCCCCTCCCCCTTTCCCTCCCCCGCCCTGCCCCCTCCACTCCTGCCCCTCCGCAGGAGAATATGGAAAGCATTCGCTGTGGAAACAACTTCTTTCCAGCATTCAGACACAGATCATTAGAATACAATCTGCTTGTCATCGGATCTATTTTCCACATGGATTCCGAAAACTGTGCAGGCATTTGTTTTGTCAGGTCCCCTTTGCCTGTGTCCTCAAGTGGATTGGAGGAGAGATGGACCCCTTGGCATTCATTCCCTGGTGACCTTGTGCCCTCATGGAGCGGTGCACTCAGGGCCTCAAGTATCCTCTACCCTCTGGGAGTAGCAATTTGCTGAAGAGCTGTCCACAAAGTGCCCTTCGCCCATCCAGGCCTGTGCCCCAGGGAGCTGCAGTCTTTGTAAGAAAACAAGAGTACTGCATCAGTGGAGAGCCTGGCCAAGGAGAGGTGAAGAATGTTTGCTAAGTGCCCTCAGAGGCTGACCAGTTTGGAGACATGATCTCATTTTATTCTTTCTGCAGTTCGAAAGGGCACTAGGGAGGTCCACTTGAGCCCCCAGAAGTGGTGGCTAGGTCCCCAAGTTACCTCCTGGCTAGAGGGAGCTGGGAAAGAGGTAGTGTCTCCCCTTACCCTACAAAACAAAACAACCATGTGGATTTGGAAATAGAGCCAGGTAAAACACTCGCTCATTTCTAGCTAAGCCATGCCAGGCTCAGGACTATGGAGAAGGCCAGGAACATGTCCAGATCTGCCATGTAGGGCATGGGCCACAGGCCCACTTCTTCTGCCTCGCTAGGCCTTGCTGTGGAATGGAAGTAAAGGGGCTCATCACACAGACAGGTGTCCCTTGCATAGGTGATCTACTGACCAAGCCTGGAGCATGACAGGTGCTGTTCTAAAAGACAACCTACAGACTTGATTTGGGTCCGAGGCTCGTTGCAGTACCTTCAACAATCTGTGCATGGCATTGGGCAAAGGAGGAGGAGTATAGGTCTGTGAGTGGTCGGCTGGGGACTGGCCCCTCCCTGACACACATCCCCAGAGCCCAGCTTTAGAGGACATGAGGCATAGGGCACGAGAGACCGGAGAGCCACATTACTTGTCAGAAAATCCTTGGCTCTGTGGGTTTCCAATAGCAGCCAGGCAGAGATGCCAAGCCCCAAAGAAGAGGAATCAGGAGGAGTTAGCAGAATGGAATTCGCTAGGATTTTTGTCTGCAAGGCCATTGTGGGGTGAAATGGGGTTGGGGGAGAACTGGCACCATCCACAAGTCCATCCACCACCTCCCCCAAGTCCAGAATGATGAAGGCCTGATTAGGGAGACAGCAAATCTGAACAGCAGCCAATAGTCGAAGGAAGCCACTGCAGGCCAGCAGGTGAGTCTGGAACACAGACTTCTGCCCCCGGCTGGCAAAGGAGGCAGGGCTAGAATATCTCAAAGGTCTCTTATCACCTTCCTTTATTATTGAAATGGCAAGGAGACAGCTGCTATGAAGATTACTCTATAGACCAGAAAGCAATAGCTCTGAGAAGTTACAACTCAGCCTCCTAGGCAGTGGGGCTGGGATCTGAAGCTGGGCTGGTCATTTTTCCACGTGGAAGTCAAAGTTGTTCATGGCTGCTAAGAGTATACAGACTTCAGAGTCAGATCACCTGGGTTTTCAGCCTCACTCTGCCATCAGGACTGCGTAGCTTCTAGTAAGTGGTCTGTACTCTCTGAGCTTTGGTTTTCCCTATTTAAAATAGAGATGGTCCTGCTAAGAACAGTGCCCACACCTCATTTGTTGTGGAAATTCAATAGCAGGTGCCAAATGATTTGCATCCAGTTCAGACACAGCAGCAAAGGATGGCTGTTGACTAGAATTGCTTTCCACAGCTGACTCCATCAGGACCAGCTTAGGAGTCAGGTAGGACTAAGCCAAGGGGCAGAGGGTGGAGAAGAGAGACTGAGGCTGGATGAGTCAGCAGGAGCCCTAAGTGGTTGTTACCTGATGTGTCAAAAGAGGCTGAGGTGAAAAAATGTAACACGCTGCGACTTAAAGACAAAAGATTGCTTCTGTTCCCTGGGATTCCGTGTTACTCATCATGTGCTTTCTTTCTGCATAAAGCAGGAAGACTTACACACTGGCAATTTCTCCCACATCAGGGTCAACCCTGTGCTGTGTCAGCCATAGCATCATTTCAGTGTTTTGCTGAAAGTGATTTAAATGCCAGGACCTCAGCTCAGCAGCCTCTGAGCAGGAGAGCATGGCATCCTGAAGTCATTTCTGGCTCCTTCGGCCACAGCCTGGTCAGGCGTTGGGCAGGGCCCATCCTTAGTAGCCCCTGCTGGTATTTCAATGTCCCCAGTCCTGCCACTTTGGGAATACTGGTGACTTGGAGAAGTATCCATTTCCCATAATTACCGAGTGTTAATGTAATCACTAAAGCAGAGAGCCAGCTGGAAAGGACCGAGCCTGACATTCCCCAAAGACAGACAGCTAAGTAAGTCATACAGCTCAGACAGCCCAACTGCCAGGCTTGTGGAACCCCCTCTTCCCCCAGCCATCCTTTGGGTTGGTCTGTCTCTCTGTTGTGCTTTCTTTCTTCTCTTTTAGTTTTTGCTCTGCTTTCTTGAGTCTGAGCATCTGCTATCAGCAAAGACTGGATCATGAAAGGCAGCCTGTTTGGGAACCCAAATACGCAAGGCCACCTCCTCTGTCTCCAGACTCAGAACCGAACCCCCTGGTTTCCATGGGAGCTGGGATGCGGCCCTGAGAGAAGTCTTGGCACCGCGTGGCCCTGTGTGTGAATGGGGGCATGAGTCACCAGCCTGGCACACACAGCATGAGACAGGGCATGGCCCTTCCCAGATGGCAAATGCAAGTTAACACATTTTAATTTATCCAGGGCCATCGACAGGAAGTTATCAATTCTTTCCCAGTCCTGCAGTCATCAGGGCCACAAAGAAAACCAGGAAGTGGGGCCTGGCTGGGGCATAGCTGAGCTGCGCCCTGCTGCAGGCCACCCTGCTTGGCAGGTCTCCCAAGAGTCCGGACATCACTCTTTCTGTGGTCTGTGTTCCTAAATAACAGGAAGAGCAGGGACCACAGGAATGCTGATCACATTCTGGGTGCCAACACCTCGCTTTGATGCATCGTCTAGCTGAATGTTCAGAGAGGAGGAAGTTCATCTTGGGCCAGTTATATCCTGGGTTACAGACAAGGATGGTCAGACGTGGAGAGGTGACACTTGAAGATGGACACACATAGGCAATCGGCCACCAGTCTCACTGTTCCCGCTTAGCCGATGTGCACAAGCACACAGAGAAATAATGACACAGCATTTTTCAAACGCTGGAAACACACACACACACACACACACACACACATTTTGTTAGGGAGATAATCGAGAGCCTGGACCACCTGGGTGGTTTACTGACTGCTTCTAAATCATCTTCATGGGGTCTATTTGAGTATTTATGACGCGAATATTATCATGCTAATCTATAGAAAGCATTTAGCAAGCCCTGGACACAGCTTACAATAGGTTTATCTGGTCAGAGCCTTACTTTAAGTCAGAGTTCTGACCAGATAAACCCATTGTAAGCTGAAGATACCCTAAGTGGAAAAAAATGCATGTACTGTCCTTGACCTGCTAGCCGTTGTAGCTGACCTAGCCTGCCTTACACGTGCTCCGAATACCGATCTTGGGCTACGGTTAGGGGAAAATCATCTATCTCCAAGTCTATTACACACATGGTGTTGAATATTTCATGGAATTTATTGAATACGACAGTGAAAGCGAAGGGATGCATGGGCGTGCTTTTGGTGTGCTGTTAAAGTCAAAAAATTGTCAAGTCAAAAGCCAACCTAAGCCAAGCACCGCCTAGGGTGGAAACAGTCATTATTCTCATTTGGCTTCCAGGCAGGTGGTTCTATGCTCTTTTTCCAATCAATAAGTTCTAGCCTGGAATGGAGGGGAGACGGGAGCCTGGCATCTTCCCTTTCCTGGCATCTCCCTATCACCCTGGAGGGTCCCAACCCCAGCCCTGAGTGGAGGCCTGTCAATCAAAGAAAGAGGCAGAGCAAGATCAAGCAACATGAAGGGAGCATTGCTGTATTTCTCTTCTCCAGCCAGCTGTGCTTCTGTTTCAGGATAACTCATCTTCAAACAAATCCTCTGAACACACAGCTGATGAATTCACCTGGCGCTCAGCCAAAGCAACTGAGACCTGCTCCAGTTCTCGATGGAGGAACGCTAACACGGTAGACTTGTTTTGAGACTGTATTTGTGCATCACACCATTCTCCTGAGGCAAGGGACTGGCTGTGAGGAGTTCTACTCTCTGTATATTGGTATGTGTCTAAATCTCCTCCACCCCCAACTCCATGCAAGAGTGGTCCCACTGGAATCTGCCTAGCTTACACTGATCACAACCTTCCCCCCCCCACCACCCCCCCCAGGCCTGGGAGCTCCAAGACAGATAGGCAAGCCACAATGCACTTTGTAAATTGTACCAAACAGTCTTCTGCTTGGGCTCTCTGGTGAATGAGTCCAGTGTAGAACAGGTTTTGTGTGTGTGTGTGTGTGTGTGTGTGTGTGTGTGAATCCTGGCACTTAAAACTCAGCCTAGGTGTCCAACTTTTGTGCTCAAGGCTAGCAGTCAATCACTTAAACCACAGGTTCCATTTCCAGCTTTTTTTTTCCTGGTTAATTGGAAATAAGAGTCTCATGGACTTTCCTACCTGGGCTGACTTGGAACTGTGATCCTTGGATCTTAGCCTCCTGAGTAGCTAAGATTCCAGGCATCAGAGCAGGCTTCTTAGTAGCAGATGTAAACAACCCCTGGATCTCCTTCCCTGTCCCCACCCCAATTTAGGGGTCTTCTGAACTACAGTGATTTTAAAGTAAGGCTGCAAGGTTCAAGAATCCCATGGTAGAACAGGAGTGCCACCACCAGTGGGAAATGAAGAGAGGTTCTAGAATGTTCTTGAATGTTCTTGAACACGAATGCTCTTGAATACTCTAGAACCCACCTGAGTGCTGCCCCAGAGATGTAATGTTATAAGCCAAGCATCTTCCAGGCTCCCATTTTGCACACACATTTCAAGTTATTTCATCATTGGTTGCATTGGGCCTGCCCAAGACAGCCCAGCCCAAGAAACCCTCACCCCCTGCCTCTTGCTAATGGAAACTGGCCTGACAATGAGCTTGGAGACTTTAAGTTGTTCTCTGGGAACCAACTTACAACATTGTATGTCTGTATGCTCTAATCTCTGTGGGGATAGGCTTGTGGCCATGGTTAAATTGCTTTGAAAAATGACTCTGTCACCTTGTGAACTGCCATACACACAACAGGCCTTAGCAACCCAACGTGGGTCTTGTGTACACACTGCTACCCCCAGTGGCATGATATCTATCACTGCTTTTCTTCTCCAAGTGGGTACCCACCCCAGCTCTACTCCAATGCCACTGGCCACAAGATCTATAATTCACACAAAAGCTAAGAAAGCAGGGAAACAGCAGGGCATGGTGGCTGTAATCCCAGCTGCTTGGGATATGAAGGCAGAAGGCTGGCTGAGCAGAAGTACTAGACCCTACCTAAAACCAAACTAAAGCAAAACTAAAACATAACCAAATTGAAAACTTCCACTTTGTGTGGTGGGCCACGCCTGCATCCTCAATCTTTGGGAGGCAGAGATAGGGGGATCATGGTTTGAGGCCAGCCTGGGGAAAAGTTCAAGCCTTCACCTCAACCATGGCTGGGCTTAGTTGTATACACCTGTTATCCCAGCTACAAAGGAAGCACAAGAGCAGGTGCAGTGGCTCACGCCTGTCCTCCACAGTGACACAGGGAAGCACAGGTAGGAGGAATGCAGTCTAGGACAACCCAGACATACAGGATCACCAATATAAAAAAGGTCTGGAGGCATGGCTCAGATGGTAGGGCACCTGCTTAGCCTTGAGTTCAATCTTCAGTACTGTCAAAAGAAATTAGAAAACTTCCTTATCACAGAAAACCACATGAACAGGGGCTGGGAAGATGGCTCAGTGGTAGAGTGCTTGCCTTGCATGCCTGAGGCCCTGGGTTCGATTCCTCAGCACCACATAAGCAAAAAGAAAAAAAAAGCCGGAAGTGGCGCTGTGCCTCAAGTGGTAGAGCGCTAGCCTTGAGCTGAAGAGCTGAGGGACAGCCCCAGGCCCAGAGTTCAGGCCCCATGACCGGACCCAAAAAAAAAAAAAAAAAAAGAAAACCATATGAACAAAACACAGGGATAAGGAACACATTTGAAAAAGATATTTGGACATATCGGACAGTCCCAAGATAAACCAAGAGTGCCCACAACGTGTTTTTAAAGGCATGCCAACCAATTAAAAACATGGGTAAAGAATTGACCAAGTTTTCTACTGATAAAGGAGGCTGAAACATTGAGAAAACCCAGAGAAATCTTCAACTTCCTGATGACTGGAGACAGGCAAAAGAAAATCAGTGAAGGAAACCACCCCACACGCAATCTGAAAAGTCTAATGAATACCAAGCATTAGTGAGGACTGTGGGAAAATGAGATTCTCCAAGACGGGTGCTGTGGCTCACACCTGTAATGCTAGCTATTCAGGAAGTTGAGATCTGAGGATCATGATTCAAAAACAGCTAGGGCAGGAAAATTCGTGAGACTCTTATTTCTAATTAACCTCCCAAAAGGTCAGAAGTGGAGCTATGACTCACATAGTAGAGCTCTAGCAATAAGCAACAAAAGCTTAGGAACAGTGTCTAGACCCTGTGTTCAAGCCCCAGGACTGGTATATGCACACACACACACACACACACACACACACACACACACACACACACGCACACACACACCCACACACACACACACACACACACACACACACACACACACACACACACACACACACACACACACACA